ATGTACACAAAAAAAACATGCCATGTTTATTAGAATCTTGAGGGTGTGGGTGTTTTAAAAAAAGACTGATCGATCTATCATGAAGATAAACAGATACAATCTGCTCTTCTCAACTTTTGCTTTTCATCAATGGATTGTATTGTTATTGAAGTAAAAAAAATATAATAATGGAAAAAATGCATTGTTGAATATTCAGAAGCGTTTTGTGTTTAGTTTATGTTCAAACTATGATGATTCATTCAATCATCGACATCGTGCATATCTCTTGATGCACTTGGAAATGAAACTGAGTTTCCAAAGCTGCTATTTTCAGAAAGTATTAGTCATATGAAATCATTGAAAATAGTAGTTTCGGATGTTTGGTGCAGACTCTGATAAAAAAAGGGAACGTGTGCGACATCTATATATGCGCATGTAATGTGGTTAACAATCAAATAATGGCGATCACGTTCACTAATCTTATGTAGATCATTGCAATTGAACGCCATTAATTTGTGTGTTGATATGGAAGATCTCTATGTTGGTACCATCTATAAATAAAACTCGCTTTTAATTAAAAAATTAAGATATTGCAGGTATTAACTCCAAGTGTAACATTATTATCATTTTAGATGTCGCTACCGTTACTACTTTTGACTTTGATTGGCAATTGCAATCACGTTTCGTTTCATCAGATCACATACTAGTTGTTTACTAGTACAAAAACACTGGAGCTATGCATTTTAAAAAAATTAATATAAAAGAATTTAAAAGATAAAAATTATATGAATAGGAAAATAAATAAAAATATAAAAAAGAATAATATTAATAAAATCAGAACGCTTTGTTGTTGATTTAATAAATTGAGTAAGTAACTCATGATGTACGAGTAGAACCTACAGATTGTGCAATCTATACGATTCCATTACGAATTTTAATCGAAAGATATCTTGGATACTTTAATAATTGATAAGTGTTATCCACACCCTCAAGATTTAAATAAACTAATCTGTTGAAAGTATATAAATTTGTGTTTGCAAATAAATTTTAAAAATCATGTTTCACAGTGATGATAAATAAATATATATACGATGCAATGACTATTTCATATTTTAATATTAAACTTTCAATTCATTTTAACTCGATTTCGAACAATTATCTTATAGAACTGATACAAATTCTTAGCGCCATCTAGTCAGAAAAATGTCTACACATTCCTACATTGGTAAAAAAAGACATATGGCTGATTAAGTCTAGTAAGAACAACAAGGACAAAAGGAAAAAAAAATAAAAACTAAGACAATATTATTGACGATGTTAATAATGTAGTTTATTATAAATAATCTTATTCAATATCAAATGATTCGATGAACAGAGTTTCAGTTTGGCAAGAATTTAATGCATGGTAAATATATATATATATATTTTCTTTTCTAAAATAAATATGTTTTTTTTTTTTTTGTTAGTCAATTTCTTGTTTCATTTTGCTTACTTATCTTCAGTATTCTTTATGCTTTTCGTGAACAGTTATTTATACTTTGGCCATATTGGTTAGTCTTTCTACCATTATTTATTTGGAAAATCTTGGCAATATTAGGAGCTATTATTGGAATTTTTACATATTGTTGTATTCGACCGAGAAAGTAAGTTTTTTTAAAAATAATGAATTGTTAAATTTGTTTTTGTTTCATAATGTTAGTCGTGAACGTAATTCACCAATTCATTGTCGAGCATTATTTTTAAATTTAATTGAAACAATTCTTTTATTTCTTTTTGAATTTTTAATATGTTATAATCTTGAACAACCAAAGGATTCAGAATATCGTTTAACATGGATTGTTTGTTTTCTACCATTAATTGTTCTATCAATTATATCCGTATTTACTTATGTTTGGTTATTACGTCATGGTCGTTCCTGGGAGGTAAATAAAAAATAGATTTTCTATGTATATATATATATTTTATTTATTCAAGATTCAAGCATTATTTGTTGTTAATATTCTACAATTTATTTTTTTTGCTCTTAAATTAGATAATAGTATTCTTACATGGAATTATGCGGTTTGTTTTAAAAAAAATTTATTACTTAAATTAAAATTCTTTTCTTGTTTTAGGCAGTATTTATTCCATTATGGATTGTCATGGGTATATCTATTATTTTTTGTATTGGTCGTATTATATGGACTTTTGTACATTATTATCGAAATGATAATCATCAAATTCCTATGAGTCAACAACAATTACATCGACGATGTTGTCAAATTTTAACAAGTCCAACTGTTGGTCATATATGTGTACTTCTATTTTTACTTATTTTTCAAGTAAAAATTCTTATTCTTATATTAAATCTTCATATTTAAATTTATATAGATACTGTTAGTCTTCTATTTGGAACGCTCTATTGCTCTTTCATTTATTGTTGTGTGTTTACCATTGTATATTGCATTAATAATACTCATTTATATGTCATTTGGTAGTCGAGTACCACCTAATCATTGTAAGAAAAAGCTTTCGTTTGCCTTAAAAAAAAATCAATTTTGTTCTTCATTTCAAAAGGGTGGTTTGGTCTACGACAAGATGCATGTGGATGGCTTTTACATTTATGTCCAATATTTGAAACTTATGCAAATATTGAATATCATTTTACTACATCAGATTCTCCATCATTACCAACGCATAATATATCTTCAACAACAGCAAATCCATCGATAATATCAACAGGACATTTAAATCGAAATATCGAAAGTACTCGTCGATTTTTTTTTCGTAAAAAATCACCATCATTTTGTGATCAATCAAAAGTTGATCATGATGAAAATGATTTATTAACAACTGTATTTTTATCACCATCGAATATCCTAAAATTACACGAACCCGATTAAAAAATAAATGTATTTATTGTGCATCTAAATAAATTCTTTTTTTTTGTTTTGATTGTAGATGAATCTATAATGGATGGACACTTCGAAGTATATACAGTCGTGTAATCCAGCGTAAAAAATTTCTTTTAAAAAATAAAATTTAATTTATTTTTTTATGTTTAAATTTAGACGTTTTGTTATTACTTTTTCTTTATTAATCTTTTCAATCTTATTTGCATTACAACTTGATGGATATATTAAAATTAGTTATTGGCTTGTTTTCTTGCCATTATTTATATGGAAAATGCTTGTAGTTTTTGGTGCTTGTACAGGTGTCTTTTTATGGTGTAAAAATGGCGAAAGAAATAGGTGAAAATTTTTTTTCTTTTATAATTTAAATATCTAAAAAATAACATTCGAATTTTCTTATAGATTCATTCGTACACCTGATAATGATTGTCGAGCATTAATTATTTATTTTTTTCTTCATATACTTATATTTATATTTGAAATACTTACATGTGACAAACTAGAAAATCATTTAGATATTCATTGGACTGTATGTTTTATTCCATTATTTCTATGTACATGTCTTGCCTTTTTATCATGCTTGTGGTCATTAAAAGTACAAAGAAATTTTCTCGTATGTTAAAAAAAAGAAGTAAAATATTTTTTTTATTTTCGATTATGATTTTATTTAGATTCAAGCGTTTATATCAGCTAATGGACTTTTCTTTTTGTTTTTTCCACTTCGTTTAGATGATCTAATTACATGGCGATATGTTGTATGTATTCGTTTGCTTAAATCTAGAAAAAAACTAAGTGAATTCTAATCGATTTAGGTTGTCTTTATTCCATTATGGATATCATTATGTATTACATTATTATTTGTCATTTCAAAATTAATTCTTGCTATTATTCATCGTTGTTCTCGTCGTTTAATAACTAACCAACGTGAATCAAGTACGATTACAGAAGCATTTATTTATGCAATCATGTTCATTCCATTTAGCATTTTTGCGGTAATATATTATTTATTAGATAGAGTAATAACTATGATGACACTTCTAATTTATATAGATTCTACTTGCTGATCGACTTGATCTTGAAGATAATGAACAAAATGGAAAAATCTCATTCACTGTGATAGCTATTCCATTATGGATTGCTTTAATAGCATGGCTTACATTTTCATTTGGTGCTACAGATAGCAATCCATGTAATTATATATACAGTAGAGTGCAAAACAAAATTGCCGATAGACTTTTCAAAGTTCTTCTCACAGAAGCATGAAATATTAAGACTTTTTTATGTTGTTATAATGCACAGACACTATACTCTATAACCACAGAAATCATTAGAAATTCCTCCCTCACTGTGAATTTTTACAAGGCAATAACTTCACGTCCTTTTCTATTATAAACAAGGGCCATCACTATACAGTAGTTTTAAAAATCTCCCGAGTAGTCTTTGCTTCAATAATGTAAGATGAGTTATGGGTCATTTTTATGAAGTTGCATGAGAGTTTTTGATCAATATTAGCCTCACTTAATTCATGAAGGTAGTACCTAACGTTCACAAATAACTTCAGAAAGTATATATATTTCGATAGAAAAAGAAAAACACTTTTTTTTCTAGGGTGGTTTGGTCTTCGACGTGATTTATTTGAGATTATTCTTGGTAAATGTCCATTTATAACACTTTATTTTAATAATCAATTTAAATTTGGACCACATTCATCAACAACAGCACCAACAAATAATATTATTATTGATGTAACAACATCAACTGTGAATAAAAATACTGAATCTATGAATATGAACAAATTATTAACAGCAAATACTAATAATGAAAAAAATTCTGGTATACAATATCACTTCATGTCACTTTTAGAACCTGATTAATATATATATATATATATTTATTGTTTTACAATTTCCGGTGATGTTCGTCTTTGTATCAAATTTTATGTTGTAGTCAAAAAAAATAATCAAATATGTGATTAAATATTTAATGTAAATAAATAAAAAAAAGAGTATTTGTTTGTAAAAAACAAATGTAGTTTTATTAAGTTCAAGAAACAAAAAAAAATCAAAACGAATGTTTATATATATCTTGTTAATGTTCAATAATGAGTTGTATTTAATTTAACAGATTCCGGACTTTCAATTGGTGTTGCAGGTACTTCATCTTCACTCGTAGACAAAAACGAATCATTTATTTTGATAAGATCATCAATACTCTCGGATACTTCACTAAAATTACCAACGAGAAAACCACTAGTTACTGTTTCTGGAATAGATGTAGTTGTTCTCGTATAACGGAATGTAGTCATATTCATATCTTGTTCAATTGATGTTTCATTAGATTCACTTTCATTATCATAATTAATTGGTTCAGTTGTTGTAACTGTTTCATTAGTTGTTAGATTGAATACTATTTCTGTTACCAATGTTCTATCAAGAATTGGAGCTGTTGAAATAGTAATAACTAAGAACAAAAACAAAGCTATGAAAGCGAATATGATTCGATGACCAATCATAATTGTTTAATCGAATATGTAATATATGATGATGATGATATATAGAAAGAGATAAAATAAATACACATGTCCTTTAATGCATGCCTTTATATCTAATCGAAAAATCTATGAAAACATTCTCTCGTCGTCTATTTCGCATGATCTCTTTTTCCTCTTCTATTTTCAACTCGTTACATTCGAATTATAGAAGTTACTAAATGATTCGACACCTCGTTATAAATATGTAAATAATCTGTATTCAAGAAGAAAAAAAATGAATAGATAAGATTACTAGCGTTCGTGTCTTATTTCATTCAATAATTATTTACAATGTTATTTTTTTTGTGTGTTAATCTTACATTAGTTATTTATGATTTGTCTCGTTTATATATATATACCTTGATGCTATTATTAATTATTTTTTTATCTGTATAGAATTTCAAAGTCTTCATTTTGACTTCTCTTATGTTTAATCGCATTGGAAATATTCATTTAAATTTATCAGATTCATTATTTTCTAATCTTTTTCTAACAAGCAAACATTAATTGAATATAATCACTACGTTTTTCTATTAATTTGAAAATAGATATAATCTTAGAGAAATTATTTCGGTACAAAAGACTCTAATCAAATATGAATTCTTAAAAAAGTCTATTTATGAAATATATAAATTCTTATCATAATTATTTGAATGATC